AAAGTTTTCCTTTTCAGGGAGGTGCAAGCTTCATCTTACACTGTTTAGGAGCAGTTGAGGCATAATAGTTACATCCAACTAATTGGATGCATTGCTATAGGCACTTAAGAAATGATAGGCATCTGCATTCAGCTAGATAGTTATCCTTCGGTGTAGCGAGCTGAAGTAAATTACGGAGTTAAATTGTGAAAGATCTGACCTGATGTCATTTATATCTCAAGTCATAATTAACACTTAAAGTTCAACTCTATGGCAATTTTCTTTTAATAACACTTAAAACCCACATAGAGCTCAAAGAATTGCACAGACATGATGAAGGGTGGCTTGAGTGGATGCTAGAATTTCAGCATTAGTAATTAATCCTCAAAACACCTTTGCAAGGCATATGGGTAGCATCATTTCTCTTCAGTTTCTTTAAAGAGAAGTCAGTTTTGCTAACGTCTCCCCAAAGTCCATGGCACCTGGAGATAAGAACTGAGGCTTTTTCAGGTATTAAACCAGTGAACACTCAACTCAGTCATGCTGCCATCTTTTTGTCTTGGTATAATTTTAAATGTAACCAAAATCTTTAGAAAGATTATGAACAAATTGCTTGTTAAATGGCCTGGGTTTTTTTACCAGTTAGAAGCTATGCAAATGCAGAAGAAAAAGTCTGCCATAAACACATCTTCTGCTTCTAAGATTTCCATGTGGATGAAGTATGAATCTCATGGGCAGGGAGGAAATGTGCTCTTGGACTAAGACCTTGTAAGCCAAGATTCGGCTGGCTGCAGATTTTTATGGTCAAGTTATAACTGCCTGTAAAGCAGGGTAAAATGGAAGTGCTGACAAAACTTTTAAACTGCAACAGCGGAAATGGTGCCGCAATAATTTATAATCTACAGGCAGCTTGGATTTATTATCACAATGACAAATGCACTGTCATTGTTAATAGGATATTTCCCAGCAAGGACTTCTTGTTATGCAAGCCAGGTTCACTATGTCATGCAGCATGATAGCAATAAAGTCTACAAGAATTTGTAATGAACTTCAATTACTAATAGATTATGGTTAATGGGAAATATGTGCAGTAAAGATATGGGTTTTTATATGCGCCTTCTGGTACTTTACAAGGCAATGATTTATGCTACAATTTATGTTAACATTCTCAAGTATGAAAAAAAGGCTAAATTGGTGGAATGCCACTCCATCCATAACAAATATTTAAGATAATTCTGCACATCACGTAAATGAAGATGTAAAATTAGATATTAATCCATTTCATTTTAGCATTTGTATTTTTATTAAAAATGAAGACTTTGCCCTACTGTGTAATGACATTAAAAAATCCTATCATGGGCTGCAAGCATGAATTACACTGATGCAGCGTAATGGCCACAGCAACTGAGCTGTAAGTGCATTTGTTCAATTTGCTGTTGTAATTAACAGAGCAGTGAGAGTATTTTTCTACGTATGTTTTAAAGTAACAGCCTTGAAACCGCTCAGGCAGGTATGCCTGATTCACAGGGCATATATATGTGATGACGGGGCTCCTTTGGAGGGGGTCAGCTTTTTCATTCCCCATTTTTGTTCTCCCCCTGCCTTCCTGTGTGGCATTGCTCTAAACCCATGCCTCATCTGTGGACATCGGGCTATTCCCTTCCCTGCACAGCAAACCTCCCGCAGGAATTACTTTGGGAAATAATCACCTGATGCAGCATCAGAGCCATGAGCTCATGTCCCTTGTCAGACGGACAGAGGCCCAGGTGTCTGACTGCTATTTCAAAGGACAGCTGTTGTTCTTCCTCCTCCTCCACTCCCTTCGGCTTTTTTTTCTCCTGTAATTGTAATATAATCTGTATATTTCATCCCTAGCAGTGTTCAAGGCCAGGTTGGACAGAGCCTTGGGTGACATGGTCTAGTGTGAGGTGTTCCTGCCCATGGCAGGGGGGCTGGAACTAGATGATCTTAAGGTCCTTTCCAACCCTAACTATTCTATGATTCTATGACTCTATATTCCAGATTTATGTACAAAAGAAGGAAAGAGAAAAGGATGTCCCCAGTTTAAAAACAAACACTGTTCAGAACCATCTCTGATGGTGGCAGGCATGTGTTGTTCCCGCCAGCGCCAGGGCACATCAGGGACATCGGTCGGTGGGAGTGGGTGAGAGGCGGCCATGAGGGGTGAGGGGAGATCGTGACAGGAGATCATGAGGGGAAAGCATAGGCAGCCATGAGGGAAGATCATGAGGGGAGAGGTGGGTTGGTTATGAGGGGAAACCATGAGGAGACAGAGGGGCAGTTATGTGGGGAAAGCAAGGGCTGCCATGAGGGTGAGGGCAGATTGGGAGGGGAGGGCAGGGGCAGCCATGAGGGAAGATCATGAAGGGACAGGACGGGTGGCCATGAGGGGTGTGGGGAGATCGAGAGGGTAGGGCAGGGGTGGCCATGAGGGAAGATCATGAGGGGAGTTATAGGGCAGTCATGAGGGGAGATTGTGAGGGGACAGGAGGGGCGGTCATGAGGGGCGAGGGGAGATCGTGAGGGGAGGCAGGGGTGGCCATGAGGGGTGAGGTAAAATTGGGAGGTGAGAGCAGGGGCAGCCACGGGCTGTGAGGAGTGGCCATAAGAGGACATCTTGAGGGGAGATGAGGGGTGGCCATGAGGGCTAGGAACAGCAGCTGTATAGTGTGGAGCCACTATGAGATTGCAGATGAGGGGAGGCTGTGACTGAGATCATGAGGGGCATCCATGACGTGAGAGGTAAGTCTGCCCTAAGTGACATGGTTTAATGGTGGGCTTGACAGTCCTGGGGTAATGGTTGGGCTTGATGATCTTAAAGGTCTTTCCCAACCTAGCTGATTCTGTGATTCTATGATGAATACAGAATATAGATGCAATGTTAAGGATTGCATTTACCCAGAGTCACATTTCTGTGTATTTTTACACTTTGTATCTGAAGCATATATTTAGCTGGAAAGGGGAACCCAAACACGAAGAACCTGCAGGGTATTATACCAGAAAAATATTTCTGATATATTTTTAATACAGGTAGCCTGATGCCCAGCTTGTGTCCATCAGTGTTATTCTGTTGCTCTTGGTGAACCTCGGTATAAAGACTATAAATTCACTTTCTAGGGGTGCAAGTGAGGAAGGTGCATCCTGTTAGCCCACACGTCCACCTGCAGGTTTGCAAAGAGCGAGGCTTGTCTGGAGATGTGCTTTTGGAAGAAATTGCTGCTGGTTGAGATAAGGCAGACTTTCTAAGAAGAAAACAATTAATTCAATGCAGAAAGCACATGGGTAAGTTCAAAAGTGTATAAATGCCAATCCATGGACAGGCTGGACTCTCCAAACATGCTCTGGAACAGCAGTATCTTGCTGTACAATTAAGGGCTATCCTTGCATGAAAATGTGGTTCTTCAGTCGGAAGTTGTGTGAGAGATTTACAAAAACTCCTTCAGTATTTATAGTCAAATAAGCATAAAATTGTTCTTGCCCCCCACTCATTTCCTACTAAATACTTACAGTCCTTACTTCTTGGAAATCTGTGTTACAAATTTAAAATTAATTTATCCCTTAAGGGTGCTCTTCTGATTCAGTTTTTCCCCAGCCCCTTAACAGCAGCAGCTGCATATACAGAATGGAATTTATTGTATTTTTCCCCCCAGATTTTTAATGAAATTCTCCTCAGAAGCAAAACCAGTGGAACAGGGCCACTCCAGCACATCTGCTTTTAGATAAGGAGTTTTTTTCTCCAGCCTGGGGTGAAAGTGCCTTTTCTCCAAGTGAATTCTGCTTTTTAAATAAGACCCTATGCAATGCCATACACCCAGCAAGTACTCTTTCTCCCTGGCCTCTCCCTTTCTTGAGAGGGGGAAGGAACTCCTGTATGCTTTCACTTTGAATCTCAGGGGTTTTCTCTGTGTGTGTCTGTGTGATCATATCCTCCTCTCTTCTCTTCAGATCATCTCTGTTGTCCCTTGTCTTTCCTGCTCTTTCCCACATTTTCAGAACAGAAATCCCAAAAAACTCTGAAAAGCTTTTTTCTTGTATTTCTTACCTCTGCTAAAGCAGAAAACAGCAGGACCTGCATATGCATCTTGTTACTGAGTTTTGTTGGATTTTGTTGGTGGTGGGGTTTTTTTTTGTTTGTTTGTTTGTTTGTTCTGGCATTTCTGTGGCTCTCAAATATATGTCATTCCTGACATTGTTGATTTGGCAATATTCAGAGGTCACCTCTTTCACAAGCACCATTTAGAAGAGGTCACTGACAGCACAAAAGTGCTACAAAAATAATGGCAACTTTGTTTCCAATTAGAAATGCATGCAGCAATCTGTCCTAATGAGAGATTTTATTTCTTTCCTGCTTCAGTATGTCATCATAGCAGCTCACAGATATACTGAGGTCTTCTAATGCAGGAATCTGTACACAGAACTGTGTTAAAGTGGTAATAGATTTTCTTCTGTTTAACAGCTAAGAAATACAACAGAAACATTCTGAAGTACACTGGAATTAATATTTGATCACTAGGAGAAGTGTGTGTTTTGAATAATTCACCCTAAACCAGCTATTAATGCACAATATAGTCTCTTGAAAATCACTTCAAATCCTTAATAATCTATATTGTACCAGAAATGTACATGCAGAAATAAAACATAATTTCTTGCAGCTTTAGCTGCAAGCTTTACCTAAGGTAAACCATTTCAACATTGAATCAAATTATTTCAGTCGCAGAAATCACACCTGTCTCATGGGATAAACTGAGTATTCAGACTATTGAATTCATTCAAGCTACTATATTGTATCCCAGTATTCATTGTGCCTTGTAGAGAGCATAACACTTCTTAAAACCATAAAATCATTCAGCAAAACACATGCATCAACTGTCAGAGTAGAGAGAGCCCCACACGGAGAAGGGACTGAGGAACACCTTCTTGCTGAACATCCTATACAGTATACTGAACAGATTTACCTGACAGAACTCCACTGAAAATGAAACAATTCCCACTGAAACCTGTCAGTTTGGCATCAGTGTTTAATTTTACATTTTCATTGTTACAAAGCTCACAAAACACAAATGGCCCTTGCTTCCAGGCTAGAGAAAGGTTTGTGTGGTAAACTAAAAGTATCCAAAAGTCCTATGTGACAACAGTAGCTGATTCCTAGCAAAGGCTTTGCGTCAGGGCTCACTAGTGAAAACGACCTCTCAAGGACAGTTGTTACCACTGCTGTGACTTAACCATCTTCAATTGCACCCCTCTTGCAGTGCCAGAAGGACCTGGTACACAAATCACTCTGCAGGTGCAGCATCATGAAAATAAAGTAAAAATGTGGGGAAAAGGAAGGGAAGCAGTGCCATTAAATGGAGTTGGCTGCAGAGGCAGGAGCTGGCAACCATTGCAAATGCAGAATGCATGAGTCCACTTTCACAATAACTGGAAGTATGAGATCAAGTCAAAAGCTCAAGAAATCCCACTTAGCAGCCACACTCATGGTCAGTCATTCTGAGCCTCCACTCTTGCCATCTGCACTGAGAAGTCATCATTTGCTTATTTAGTCTGTAGAGAGTTTTTAAATGATGATGAAAAGGTTATAGATCTTGATTATTTCTTAGGAAATAGGTTTCTGCAGTGCCTGAGTGGATGGTACGAGTTACATCTGATTATACATGTCTATCTGATAAAGCACAATTAACTGCTTAGTGAGTTACACATTCATAGATTGGTACAGAATTAATCAGGTATTAAAGTTCACTCATAACAGATATTAATACTGATTTCTTAACAGGCTCAAAAAGTAATGTATTAATACTGAAGTAAACTAAGCTATTTCTAAAGGATGAAATATGTATTTCAGCTGTTAACAGTTTGTATTTAACTATTTGCTTTAGATCAGGAAGCAAGAAGAGGTTAACTCATGGCTCAATCACTACTACACTCAGGTTGTTATTAAAAAGTATCTTTCCATCTCTTTCTTGACTGCATTCAGGCTTTCTTAACTCTTCCATTACCTGACGCTTTAGTTCAGGAGAAGCAGTTTTAGAAAACTCACAAGTTTCTGTCAGGAAGTCCAGCAACATCTCCCCATCCTCGTTCCCTTCAATAAAGCAGCTTGTTATGTCCATGTGGGATGGGAGCTCATGAAGCTGGCACTTCAGCCCAGCTGAATCCAGCATCCTTTTTATGTCAGCAGATGAAACGTAAGAGCAGAGATCATCTAAAGGGAAGGAAGACCCGAACTTCTTCCATAATGTTTCCCAGCCACTGGTTCCTGGGACAAACAACCAGAAAAATGCTCAAGAATAAGGAAAACCACAAGATTTTTATCACGTACTTTTTTTAGCAGTTGTCCTCACTGTGAGCAGGATCTTTCCAGAACTGGGACATATGTCCTGAGGCATGGTGGAGATGGTTGCCTCCCTGTTTCCGGCTGCCTTGGGATTGGGGGTTGCAGAAGGGGATGGGCACGTTACTTACCCTGGAGCTTCAGCACCTCCCACCAAGCCCCCAGAGGCAAGAGCACCTCAGTGCACTTAATCATCCTCCTTTCCACACTCAACACACTGCACCCCCCTGCTTCATACCCATAGGCAGTATCTTGCAGTGACATCCTTTTATAGCCGACATGCTGAACACCAGCTATTCAGTGCCATCTTCATGATTTAAACTATTCCCTAGGTTTCTGCTGCGGTTTGGAAGACCAAATCCTCTCCTATCCCTTCACCTAATTACATGGTGGTTGAGCTACATTTGAGCTTCATTGAAACACTTATTACCAGTAAACTATCTGCTACGTGAACTACATGGGGTACAAAATCCTCATCACATTGTCCATGCTGTTGGATGTGTGATGGAGAAAAGGGTGGGATGGACAGAGCCCAGAGTGAAACTGCACCATACTCCCACCCTTCAGCTTTCTCTCCCATCATGCTCACATGCTGTTGGTCACAAGCAATTAGAGGGTTGCCCCTCACCCCAAGCAGACCTCCCCAGCGCTGGCAGAAGGATGTTTTGGCTCGGTACTATTTGGATATGCAACAATGAAGAGTGAGGAAGGAAAAGGCCCCCATGGCACTGCAGTCACTTAAGAGAACTGAACCCAAGCCAAACCCATGTTTCTGCATTTACCTCTTCTCAAGGGACGTTTTCCAAAGAAAACGAGCTGGGTGAGCTGAAAACTCCCCAGATATGCCTTAACATCTTTATTTTCCCTCAGCCTAGATTTCTGATTCAACATTTCTTCTATAAATCATTTATAAAAGGATCACCCAGAATGACTGGACCGGATGAAAATAACTTTGAGCTTAATGAGCAGCTCTTGAGAGTTATGACAATAAATCTCCATAACTACTAAACCCAGTTGCTTGGCAGTTTTGCAAATGCTTTATCTGCAAACAGTTATTTATAGCCAAATAAACAGTTTGCTGTTTAGAAGAGGGGCTACAATATTTTCTTTCACCTCGTGGAAATTGAATGCAGAACACTAATTGCAGAAAATTTGCTGGTGTCAGTGTTGTGTGACTCAGTGCCATCTCTGAGCTGAGCAATTACACACTACCTGAACGCAGCATTATTGTAATAGCTCTCAATAGGCTCAGCATATGGCACTACTTTTGTTTTCAAGGCGATGTAAACAGATTTTTTAAATATGTTAGAAATACCACATAGCTCTTGCAACTCACCTGCTCTCCCAGCAGGGGCAGAGCAGGAGGGACTGCAGCCTTCACCAACTGACCAAGCCCTCTCCCATCAGTCCTATTCTCTGACTGTGAGATGACGTTACCTTCATTTCTTGAAATGAGCTTTGTTCTGCTTATTTTTCAGTACCTCTTTTTGCTTCAGTGCTCATTTTCATAGCACTTCTTCCTTCCCCTCTCTACTCCTCTTTCCCCCAAGGTTTTCCCCTTCCTTTCCCCTCTGCTATTCTGAGCCCTACTCCTGTCTCTCATTTTCCTCCTGGGCCCAGAAGTTTATGCTCCATTCTGCTTCACTAGAAAACACAGAATTGTCTGGTCCAGAGAGAACTTCAAATACTTTTCATTTTTAATGTGATTTCATAACGTGATTTTTAATCACATTAATTTTGAATACACATGTTCCCCCCTGCATTCACATTTCATGAATATCCAAAGGGACAGGTTAAGCAACTGGAAAAGAGTTTCAATTAACTATACACAGGTAATCAGCAATAGCCTGATATTACGATCTATTCTGCTTCAGCCAAAGAATGAGAACAGTTCTTTCAAATAATCTAAAATCAGATCATTTAAAATAGGGATTTCTTGTAGTGAGATGCTTGAAAACACTTTAAACTAAAAATAGCCTGGAGACAAATAGTTAGAATAAATTAAGGTCAGAGAAGTGCCACTTCATTGCAGACACTTCATGAACACAAAAAAAGAACTTCATTAAACACATTGCAGTTAGCAGACACGGCCAAATTCAATTAAAAATAAGCTTAAACCTCTGAACAAATAATATACCTGACAAAATTATCAGATGCGACTGTTTACACAACTGAAATTTCTATAGCTTGTGAAGCAAATGAAAGGCTTTCTAGAGTCACATTAGACCCCACCATTGCAGTATCTCTAGCATACTTTGCCCGCAATAATAAAAGGTCATCGTTTACTCTGCTCCCACATTTTCCTGCTGGATTGACCACAGAACATCTCTTTTGAGATCTGAAACAGCCTAAGAATGCTGTTTTCCACCCAAAATGATGAAATTAAGGAGATGGGCAGTTTGAGAAGAAAATGAACCATATGTGCTCTAACACCTGCTGTATGGCACAGCCGAGCCCTGTCGTAGCTGTTTGCTTAATGCCGCAAGTCTCCAGGAGTGAGATAATGTGGTACCCGGCCTGAAAAGCCTGTTACAGAAAATAGCTGACACTGAAGGAGCTCTTGTGAGTGAGAGCTGCTAGATGAAGCCGCTCACCTGCTGTGGGGCTCTCTGCAGCGTCCATCACTGGCCAGGCTGTAGGATGGGGAAAGGTAGAGGGCGAGAGAAAGATGTTTTGTGTCCTTGGCATGAGTTTTCTGGCTTACAAAGCCTTCTACTTTACAACCTGCAGCATGGAGCTGTGCAGGTATACACAGTGTGCAGGTTTCAATCTATGCAGATGAGTGGACACCATTTGTTACTCAGTGAGTTCACCTCTACTGGTGAAAAAAACATGTTATAAATAAAAATGTGCACTGATTTCTAGATGCCTGTGTTGAACTTGCAGGAACCACAGAACTCCTCATGGTTCTTGCCCAGTTGAGCAGCACTGGTGGAGCAGCTCTCACCTGACACCAGGATAATGAGGAGCTTCGCCTGCTCTTCCAGGAGGCTGTGGAAATACTGGATAGTCGCTGAGACATCTTTCACATAATACAGCATCTGGAAAGAGCAGAGATACTTGCAGATACAGTGAGGTCCTGGTGAATATTGTAAGTGGTACCACTAGGTTAAAGAAATCAAATGGGGGCAATATTGACAGAATTGCAGCATGACAACAGGACATGTTAGCACAGAATTGGGCAATGGACTCATATTGCAAGCTTGTGGCTGTCGCTGCCATGCCTGCTCTCTGGCTCTCCCAAGACAAAGCTTATGGTCATTTGTTAACCTGAGATAAACAGATTTTCCTTTCTTAGCATCGATGATTACTTGTAATGGCTTCAGTAAACTTAGAAATACAAAGACAATTTCACGGAGAGGACACCCACCACCTGGCTATCTGGACTACTGTGCCCAAAGCTGCTTTGCTGTAACTCATCTTTCATTTTTGCAGTTCACTTATGCTTAAGTACTTTACATTACAGGGAAATAAACTCGCCCTTCTCCTTAGAGTGGATAATGAGGTCATACACTTCATGCATACTTTTAATAGCCAAATCTTTGGCAACATTTATTTTGCAGAGATTTTTACCTGGATCATGTGAATGAAGTCCCATTTTTTAGACTTCTTTTCTGCACTCATTCGACTTTCATATTCATAAGCTGTCTCCTCATGCCAGGTAAACTTTACGTTCTCAAGGTTTGATGTTGCAGCCACATGCTCTGAAATATGAGAGAAGGCAGGACAGAGTTATCTCAATTGCAAATACAAGACTGACTTCCATTCACAGGTTTTATACATCCAGAAGTCATATTTAGGTAGAGAGATCTTGTACCAATTTAACCCAGCAGTAGAATATTTAAAATCTTGAGCACATATGTGAGAAGGGGGCTGTAAAGGTCTTTGTAGGATGAAATGTGAAGAGGGTTTGATGTTTTTCCCTTTGAACCTTCATTTGGGCTCATCCAGTCTTCACCTGATCAAAAAAACCCAAACCCAACCAAACCTAACCTAACCAAACCTAACCAAACCAAACCAAACCCCAGATAACTCTTCCCCATGACTGAATTTCACGATGTTGGCTGAGATAAAGAGTCTCATAACTCTTTATCCATGCTGAATGGGGGAAGAGTTGATGGCCTCTTCACTTAGGTGCCACACAAGCCCCACATGGCTGAGCAGAAGCCAGGCCACGGCAAAGGGTTTTCTAGAGACTGAACAAACCAGGATGGATGAAAGGGGATTTAATTTTGGAGAGAAGCAGAATTAAAAGCTCAAGAAGGGCAGAGAAAGTAATTGGCTCACTCTGGGGATGTGTCATGGGGATGGTGGGAGAGAAAAGGAGCTTTGCTCCATGAGCAAGGAACCATCACTTGACATTTGTCTTCCGCTGTGTCCAAATAATTTTTTAAAAGCTCACAGTTTCAGCCAACTGCTTCAGGTGAAAAGCATAATAGTATTTTAAAGCAAAGAGAAGTATGAAGAGTGCCACATGGCATGTTTTCATACCTTGATAGAATGCATATCCAGCACCAGAGGAAAGCAGAAAGCTGAAGAAGGAGTAAGTTATACCAAGGCCCTGGCTCACTGCATTTCTTTGCTTTTTATGGGAGCAAAAATGAGAGATGATTTCAGAATTTAGGGGATGCCAGAATATTAATGTCCATCTGCTGGCATATGGAGCTCATCTCACTGCGCTCCTGCCTGGAGCTCAGGATTGCTCTAGGACAAAGCTACCCCTGATGCGATTCCTGTGCTTCGCTGGAGTTAACATAAATTTAAAACTCAAATGGCCCAAAGGCAGACTGAGCCTTAGCTACAGAATACATGTTCAAAACAACATGATTTGCTAAGACCAGGGCCTTTACATCACTAATCACAATGTTTCTCCTTTAGGGCTCTGATTAGGACATATCCCTGTTGTGTAGATGAGAAATGGTTTATCAGTCCTCATCTCCTCTCTTTTATGGCTGGAAATGGGCCACCCCTTTCGATACTGCTACTATTACTCTGTTTGCTTCCATTTATCAGTCACCAGCTCTGGCACTTGCAGTTCAGATTTAATTTGCTGTTTTAAACTCAGGCTTCATTCAGCAGCAGTTCATATCACCATCACAAATAATCTGGTGCAATCTGGTTCAATTGAATTTCTAGAGAGTCTGCAAGGAGGTGCTAGAAAAACTGAAACAATTGCCAGGGTGGGATTTTAAAGTCAAAATTTCAGAAAGGGCAACCTCATTCTGATTATGGGAAGTTTCTGCCCAAAGATTCATCTGAAGCTAAAATGTATCGCCCTAACCATTTTGAAAGTTTTTCCTTAATTTTATCCTGGTCGTGTGCCCTAGCTGGGTGCCATCAAAACTTCAGTGCCTGCAGTTGTGGCATACCATGCAGGCAATGTCAATGCATCTTAGTTGTGGGGCCAACAACACTCCAACCACGGTCACCAAGAAGCTTCACCTGGACATGGACTGAGAATGAAGGAAAGCCACAGCCTGCTCATGGGGCTTTGAGGAGAGCCTCCATTCTACAATGCAGCCTAAGAGAAGCCTCAATTTGTAATCACTGCACGTCCCAGTATGAAACTTCTCCTGTGAGCTTGGCTTCTCCTTCCCAAGGGGAAAGTATCTTTTTAGGCAGAAAATGTAACTACTGAATCCTCAAAGGTGTAGACAATGCTTCAAGTTCTCTCTGGAAAGTCTTAGGGCTCAGAAACCTAATTAATGGTACCTACTGGGGACATGATTAATTACAAATAAGAAAGTTTAAAGAAAGAAATCCAAATTAATATTTCATTTCTAGTTTAACGTAAAACTTAAAATAAGGACAACATCTTACATTTTCTTTAACTTTATTCTGAAAAGAAACTCACTGAAGTAGGATAGGACTGCCAGTTAATCAGTGGTAGGACCACTAGGAAGATTCAGCACAAATCCAGTCTCACATAGCCTGTGGTCCATGGCCCAGACAGGACAGAAATGCTATGTCCAAGTGCTCAAACTGTCTTATAGGCTGAGTAGATGATCTGTTGCCCATGCTTCACCAACTCAGCCTGGAGCAATGTAAAAGCTCCTGGGATTTTGCACAAGCCATCATTTCAAGGATCAGGTCCATGTAATACAGAGACAGATGTAGAAAAATACATCTCCTGGAAGCCTTTGGTGCTTCTGGTGACTAGGAACTCCCTCACTGCGGGGAGAAAGGGATTGTTACAAGTTTTATTATTTTTCCTTCAACTTCCACAAGTTGCTTCATACTGAGAATGCTTCATTTTTAAGGACTTAAGCAACAGTAAGGATTGGAGATTTACAGTGTGGTTTTATAATCTGTTATTTACTACGGTTTGGAGCATTTCCAACAGCTCGGACTGCTGACCAGTTTCCTTCTTTTCTGCCACATTCATTCAGCAGCTGTTTTCTGGCAAGGTGTGCTCTCCTCAGGGCTGCTTACAGCCCGTACCCCATAGGTGGCGTCACCTCCATAAAAGACCACAATTACCTGGTAAATTAAAGCCTGGTAGGTGTTAATCCAGTGATACTCAAACTGTGAATTGATATTTAATGCTCATTTTGTAGGGCAATTTGACCAAAGCACCCCTGTTAACATTCAATTCTCCTTAGAAAACTCTTGTCTTTCCTTCACAAATGTTGCTCAGACCTTGGGACTGGTGGAAGGAAACAAGCTCTAAGCCACTAAGCACACAGCAAAACTCCTTCCTATCCCTCTTGCTTTCCTTTCAATGTTTTCTAATTCAAAGGATGCCAAGTAATTTAGTGCAACACTGTGGGGTTTAGCTAATTGTTATTTGTAAGCAACTTTTAAGATACGTGAGAATTACCATGAGACTACTAGAATTTTCCCTTTGATGCTGAGGAGGGGTCCTGATTCAGTGCAAGTTGAAGGAGACAAACTTTCTGAAATGTGCAGATTTTACTCTATTCCCATACAATCACCCATCAGTTCCCACCTAGTTTAGCTTTTTAAATTTGTCTAGCCCAAGCATTTGCCATGCAGAGTTTTTCGCAGTGTGAGAAACTAAGATTTTAATGAGAGACTGAACACTGTTGAAAAGCAATGGTGGCAAGAAAGCATAAAATATGGACTTTTTTTTACTTTTAAGAGCCAATTCTGACAAAGTTATCTGAATGCAGGATAATTTCAATGCATTTAGCCTACTTAATTAAAATTTCATTTATTTAATGTAAAAATACCTTTGTACTTGAAGATTTGGTCAGCACTTGGTTCTATCACATGGTTGTTGATGGTGACCCCTGGATATCTGGCTTGTACTTTTGAGAGTATCAGCAGGTCAATCTCACCTAGGGAAGCAAGCAACATGAAATACCAGATGAAAGTAAAGCTCAGGCAACTGCTATCTCCACGATGATCACATCCCCAGTTGGTGATGCCCGCCATTCATGTACAGAAAATGTACCACACAGGTACATGTAGCTGATTTGTATTCTCACCAGATTGCCACTGAAGGTTTAGCTTTAGGATTTGAGAAAAATTTCAGTATCAGTTCCAACTATCTTTATTCCTCCTCTCTGACTGCCACTATCAGTGCCAAGGGAAAACCAGACACATTCATGTACATGGCTTGACGTCCTATTTTCTGGACACGGTCTAACTTCCTAACTTCCCTGGGCAGATCCTAAATGGCTTTGATAGTATCAGTTCTGATGGTCCCATGTTACCAGCAAACCTGTCAGGATTTCTTAAGTGTCAGCAAAGAGCATTTCTAGCCAAGTGCCTCACTGGGTACCAAGTCATGTTGGTGAGGGAGCAGAGAATACATGCTTAGACTGGAATCAGAGGCAACATTCGTGTCTGTTTGCCTTTACTGTACTATGACTTTTCCGTAAGTATGTGCACATACCATCTGTGTTTATCTAACCCCTGTCTGCACAGTACCCCAGCACTGACTACTGAGGAATATTTCTCTCGGGACACTGTTCAGGCCAGCTGCGATTATTTTACTGACAGAAGTACCAATAGATTCAACATTTCAAAATTTAAAATGAGCTGCCACTGCTCTTGATCACCTCTCCCTGTCCACGATACGGAAAGCGGAAAAATAATAGAAGAATTAATTAAGGTAGAAAGAGTGAAACAGAGGGTAGCTGTGGTGAATAATAGATCCAGAGGCTGTGTTACAGACAAATACCGAGCTTTGTTCTGAAATATTTACTTGTGCTTGCACACAAGTCCATTTTATAAAATTCTCTACAAATGAACCAAATTATGCACTGAATGAAAGATCACCCAGCAAATCCTGATGGCCAGACAGGCTCTTGCTGAGGGAGGGCCCCAGTGTATTTGCACACCTTTACCCATCTTCATGATTTTCAGTGCTCCTGGGCTCCTGCCACTTCAGCATTAGCTACATTATACAGAAGATTTGAGGTACAAAAGGAAAATATCATGGATTAAATAGCCATAATGTGTTCCTCAGAGCTCAACCCAGCATACCAGCTCTTTCCCCAGGAGGGTCCTTTTCACTATGAAGAACTCCCTGACTATTCCTGACCCCACCACACATGATCACAGGTCAAAATCGAGCACTCATCCCAGGTCTCATCTGCTTATTAACGCCCTGAGAATTTAACTTAAAAACTGAAGAAGAGTTCCAATTTTTCAAACTTACATGTCTTCTTACAGCATTAACAATACCAAAATTTACATGGCATATGATTCTTTGAGGGAGGAAAACTGAATTTCTGAAGCAGCAGAAAGAGCTGCAGCTTTGCAATCACTGCAAACCCTGTATTCTGTTGAAAAAACAGAGCAAAGCCAGTCATCTGCTCACTGCCGTTGTAGAATTTGAGAACAGAGAAGTTGTAATGAACCTACTAGAATATTTTGATTTTTGGCTCCTTTACCAAATTTCTGTAAAAGGGGTTAGCCCTTTGAAGACTTTGTAAGTCCTGCTAGAAAAAAACTGAATTTTGAATTTACATACGTGGTTAATATACTCTTCTGTTGCCAAACCACCCTTGTATTGTTTTTAAACAACCCCCACCACCACCCCTTTGATTAATAATTTAATCCATAGCCTTAACTGACTTCAGTTAGCTCTTTTATATGCAAACAAGTGTCCTGAGGCATTTTACAGTCAAATCTGTGGCAGCTTGCATTATCAACAATTTGGCAATTAGGCTATCCAAATTATTTAAACTCTCCAACACAATTACCTTTTAAAGGCTACCACTATGTTCACCATTAAGCTTCTAATTAAACATTTTACGTAACAGGATAGTTTATAGCACAGTTGCTACTTTATAGCAGCATTGATGACTTTTATGGTTTTTAAAGGTACAGAGTGCTGTGCGCTGGAGTGTGAACTTAATAAAGAAGAAGCTGTAGGCAAAGGCAGGCGCTGTATATGGGCTGGTGTAATGGGATACGATGCTACACTAAATGGTGTGCTTGTCTCTAGAGGTGGGAAAGTGGAAAGGAAACTTTCCTTCCATGCTCCCCCCCTGCAAATCACAGGGGCAGATGAGGCCAAAGGCAGCAGCTTCATCATGGCCCTCCAACACCATCCAGGATTAGCTGGGGGGGGGTTGGGAATTTGTTTCCTTTACCTCCCAAAAACCAGGGAGGAGAACAAGCCAGCAAACAGCAGCGGGTTTGGTGGTTTGGGGATTTTTGAATCACAAAATGAGTTTTGCCTGCATAGTATTGCTTGAATGTCCACTTAGCTGGAATGCCCCTGGTTAAGGAGTTGAGTACCTCACTAAGTGCTCCTGTTAGAAACAACACTTTTTTTTTTTTTTTTGCCAGAAGAGTAGTTTCCTTTGTGTGGAGAGCAATATTACTACTCTGTCAAAGTGTTTTATAACTAATGCCCACCATTTGCATACAATTATTTTTACTTATTAGGAGAGACTGACAAAGCTGAGATCAGTCTTTGGAGATGGTATGACTAAAGCATTTAAACTAAATTAACTGTTAATATAAAATTTAAGTTTGATGACTTAATAGGCAGAGCAGAATTAGAGGCTTTAATTATGGGCAACTTAAGCAAGAATTTAATGAGAGAAAGCCATTTGATATTCTTCATATTGTTTTTCCACCCAGTGAACTCCAGATAAGCGAATTATTTCTTCCACTTTCTTCTGGATTTATTCTGGAGCTTATGTTCAGCTCCAGTGTTTTGGAGAACAGTAGCTCCAGGAGGGCCTCGTGCATTCATTGACTGTGGTCAGCAAGTACATACAGGCAAAACAGCGCTCAGCCTAGGCTATCACATATCAGGGCAAGAGGCAGCAGTGATGGGTAGTTATTGTCTCGGTAAGTAGGTACAGGGGAGAATAACTGTAATAAAATTAAAAAAGAAATTGCAATTTTTTTTTGCCAATGGAAATTGAATATTCTGAGGAATCTAAGATATTTGGGGGTGGGGGTGTTCCACAGAAGTACTATGGAGCAGTCAAGCCTCTCTCTGCCCTTGAGGAGTGATGGTGTAGAAGGAGGTCCTTCATACAGAGAGGGTGGGGAGGCACAAGCTGTTCCCAGATGATGTGGCCACACACCAGCTAGCACCATCTGTCCCCAGGAGCTGATTTTTCAAGAAAAAGCCTTATTTCCTCCTCTGCTCCTTTCTGCAATTTTTAATCCTCTATTCACTCGGGGGGGGGGAGGGGGGGGAAGCATATTGATATTTACGTCCATAGCGTACCTGCTCCACCACCAACGCTTAGAATATTGATTGTAGACTTCCCGTTTCCAATACTGAAAAACATTATTTATACATTTTAGGAGAGCCCCCAGTACTGCAGAGCGTAACATGTTTAAAATTCCTTAGTGAGGCTTTGGCAGAGCCATAAAATCCTGAGCCCAAAGAAGGACCTCCTCAGAGACAGGGTTTAACACTGGCTGCCTGCTGCCCAAGCCAGCCCACAAAGCAAGGGGTCCAGTGAAAAACACACACCAGAGCAGGACTGGTATTCAGACACGTGAAAGAGAGACTAAATATTACCTAAAAAGCTTACTTTTAAAAGGATGCTCACAATCAAACTTAATATTAGAACATAATATCTGCTAGTGCATTTTATAATTGATTCAAGGCAAGCTGCATTTGCATGCAATGAAACTATTCAGCCTTATCTCCTTCCTGCTAGACGGGACCTGTCCTGAAGAACAGCCATTCAGCAGTGTGTGCACTTGAAATCTCCAGCCAAGCCCTAACAGAAACCCACAGACACTGACAGACAGGATGGCCAGCGGGGAACAGCAATATGCCTCTTGCAGACAGCCTCCTCAGCCAAATCCGTCAGTGCCATTCAGCTTGATGTGACCACTTCCATGTTACCTCCCTATCACAGCTGGCAACTGTCTCTCCATGAACTCCTGCATGCACTGGTGCTCGGTTGAATTTGTGAGGAAGAGGCGGAAAGACTGGAGGTATCTGTCAGGGTCACTAAACAAGCTCCTCATTGGTGATGCCATGTTGGTGGTTGGAAGGGTACAGGATGGGTCAGGTTGCTCCTTGCAGCTCTTCTTGCAGATCTAGGGAAGGAATTGATGCAAAGGGTTAACTGATGTACAGGGGGCTAGGTCAAGCCACTTGCTTAACAGTGTTACTGCTTGCTCATGCTTATCCTACTTGCAATGTACAAGGGGGTAGGTCAAGCTGCTTGCTTAACAATGTTACTACTCGTTCATACTTTTATCCTACTCGCCGTGTATGCTAGACCAAGATATAAGGACATACCTATTGCTAAGAGGTAGGGACCGTGACTTGATTCCCATGCTTTGGATGCCTAGGCCAGCTGAAATTGGCTCTGCGATTTGACAATGACCAAGCCTCCAGGGAGCATGCGTAACAACTAGGGGTGAAAAGTTCAGGCTCAAGGAAGACTCGTTTACTTCATCTTGAGACCCTCGCCCACGATCATCAGGAGGCACTGCGCAAGCGCAAAGGACCTTTTAGCATATTACAATACGAAGCAGGAATAAGACATGAATATGTATAGGCGTGTTGTGCAACCTCATGCATATGTATAACTTTAGAGGATAATTGTAAAAGGGAAAGGACGCTGAGGTGCGCGTGCCTTTGGAGGAGCTATCCCCCATGCGTCTCAATGCTGAATAAAGCATACCTACAACTTTAACGAATCATGGAGTCTATTAGCTATCAGAATAACAAAAGCTAGAGAGGTAAAAACCATGCCTGGACTTTGTTCTGCATTATCAGCTCTGCTGCTGCACTTTAGAGCACTTAAAAAAGTATTATGCAATTTTGAAATAGAAGCTGTAAATCAGGTTTCAGCAGCAAAGGTAATATATCATCTTTAATCTGCACAGAGGAAATGCCAACATTTTTTAATTGTGCTGACACTGGACTCTGTTAAAACCCAGTAAAAAGGCCTTTAGATGGCTGTTAAACATAAGAAAAATTCCCTTATTTCTTGAAGGCATGGAGAGGCTCCAAAGGCTTGGTCTGGATTAGAAGAAACTGCAACACACATCTCCAGAGATGCTGGCAGATGCCTCTGGTTTTTTTTAATCTTTTGATGTTCTTAGAGGGAATGTTGATGGTGGGGTGAGAACAATAAAAACCTTATAAATGCACTCTTTATTTTTCTAGGTCCTCTGAAGATAATGGTATGACTTCCACAGGCTAAGTAGTTAATTCATGAAAGCCATGTGAGTTACTGGAATGGATGTTAAGCTAAACCCAGTTTTACAAGCTGGGAGAGAAGGAGGCAGAGCATGCTACTGGGAAACATCCAGCTGTACTGTGAAAGCTCCACAGAGATGTGTTCATCCCCTCCAAAACCACAGTTTAAGTCTGTCACGTCTTGTACTAAATGGCAAGGAGAAAGAGGAACCCCCTTCCTTCTCAAGGGTCCCAAGCTTAAGGATCGTAGCGCATGTCCCCAGGGTCTCCTACAGTCTCCTCTGGCTTTCCTGCAGAGGTTCCATCCCAGCCACCTCTTGATATTTTTATTGCTCCCTTTGGACTGTCTCCAGCCAAACCCTGTTGTTGTAGAAGTGCAGCAGCCAAGGGTGAAAGTCTCCCACCTGCTGACACCCCCTGGCTTCCAGCACAGCTGGGATGGCTTCCCTCACCCCATCGAGACCCCACACCCCTTGCCTTTGCTCACCAGCATGATCACTGAAAATATAAAGCATAGGTTTTTTCCAGACTACTTCTCTTGTCCATTTGAATTATAATTCTGTTCTCTGTTGTGCTCAATTATCTCTCAGCGACAGTCCTGTCCCTCCTCCCAATCATAAACAGAAACACACAATCAAACAAACACTGCGTAGTGGGCTAAGTTTCCTACTAGTCATTACCTCTGTTTCTGACAGTGAACTACTGATAAATTTTCTGACTAACTGTGCAACCAGTTTTCCACCCACCCAATAGCTGTCTCATCAAGGCTATGTCTTCCTCGCTTGCTTACGAGAATGTCATACCAGATGGCGCCAACCCTAAAGCCTCTGTATAGGAATGCCTGCTTCTCCCCTGTACACCAACACAGTTACACTACTGAAGAAAGAGGCTCACAATTTCTCCCTGACATCTCCACATTTCCTGGCAATCACCTCTTTCTCTTTCTGGTGCTCACTCTTTCTCGAAGAACTATTTCTCCTAGGGAAAGCTGTCATGCTGAGCAGACCCACCCCAGCTCCTCCTCCCTTTTCAATGATAACATAAGCTGCTTGGCTTTGCCCACTTTCTTTTGCTGCTCATAGAATCACAGAATAGTTTGGTTGGAAAGGACCTTAAGATCATCTAGTTCCAGCACCTTCCACTAGACCATGTTGCCCAAGGCTCTGTTTAACCTCACCTCTAACACTGACAGAGATGGAGCATTCACCACTTCTTTGGGCAACCTGTTTCAGTGCCTCGGCACCTTCACAGTAAAGAACTTTTTTCTTATATCTAACCTGAACTTTCCCTGTTTAAGCTTAAACCTATTACCCCTTTTCCTATCACTGGAGTTCCTGATGAACAGTCTCTTTCCGGTGTCCCTATAGGCCCCCTTCAGATATTGGAAGGCTGCTATGAGATCTCCACAAAGCCTTCTTTTCTCCAGGCTGAACAGCCCCAACTGTCTTCATACGGGAGATGCTCCAGCCCCCTTTTCATCCTTGTGGCCGCCTCTGGACTTGCTCCAACTGTTCCATGTCCTTTTTATGTTGAGGACACCAGAACTGTACACAATATTCCAAGTGAGGTCTCACGAGAGCAAAGGGGCAGGATCGCCTCCTTTGACCTGCTGGTCATGCTTGTTTTGATGCAGCCCAGGATACGGTTGGCTTTCTGGGCTGAGAGTGCACACTGAAGCTAGCTCATGTTCATTTTCTCATTGACCAACACCCCCAGGTCCTCCCCTGCAGGGCTGCTCTGAATCCCTTCTTTGCCCAACCTGTAGCTGTGACTGGGATTGCCCCAACAAGTACAGGACCCTGCACTTTGCTTTGCTGAAGTTCATGAGGCAGGGCACTGGCCCACAGGTAACAGCATGTCAAGGTCCCTCTGGATCTCACCCCTGTCTTCCAGCGTAAGAATCAAACCACAGAGCTTGGTGTCATCACCAAATTTGCTGAGGGCACACTCAATCCCACTGACTGTCACTGAGAAAGATGTTGAACAGGGTAGTTCTCAACACCAGCCCCTGAAGGACTCCACTCATTACCAGTCTCCAGTTAGACATTAAGCCATTGACTGCAACTCTCTGCATGTGGCCATCCAGCCAATTCTTTATCCACCGGCTTGTCCATACATCAGACTTATGTCTCTCCAGTTTAGAGACAAAAATGTCTTGTCTCTAAAGATATGCAAGGGTAACACAGGGATGTCTTGTGTCTGAGATAACATCCAAACTGCGATGTTGTTTTGCATCCCATGAAGGCTCATCTCTGAACATCCCAAATGTTCCTGAAGGCAGATGCATTGTGAAGGCTTGCAGCAATGCACTTCCTCCAATGCATGCAACCTCCAGAGCAGGACCCAAGGTGGGATTTTCCACCCATACGACCTCCAAGGCAGACCCAAATTTTTATTCACACTCTGTTCCCCACCCTCTCAGTCAGCAAGGATACTTTCAAGAGAAAAAAACAGCAAAACCAAGCATGTTAAAGGGCAATGATGAAACAGGACTGATAACTTGGAGATGGGAGAGCTTTAAAAACTTTTTGGGTCCTGGATGCCCACAAGGACTGGTAGGAATAAAATGTGAAGATGATGGCCCCCTCTCCCCCCTCCCAGCCACAAAGCTTTCCCTTTGCTACCTGCTTCAGTGAGCCTGGTGGTGTTAGGGAACACAGGCAAAACAGCCCATGCATTAGACAGACCAACAAATTGCAGATGAATTGACTCTACGGTGGGGGACCACCACTTCTCTCGCAGGGTGGTATCTGCCACTCACTTGCATGGAGGCAGCACACTGCCCACCCAGCTCAGCTACCACACATGAGCCTCCAACCAGCAACCTCTCCTTCTCACAGATGACCAACACTTGAATCCCCAGCAAAATTTGAATTTAGCTGGGGAAACCAAGTATGAATTTTGCCATAGAGAGTAAGGAAGCACACACCTGGTCAGGTGAGAATTACTTGCTGCGAACCCACCCTGAAAATAAAGTGGTATATTCCTTGTTTACCCATTCCTCTGCTCTGCCCAACACCTTGCTTTTACTTTAAATGCACAAAGAGGCTTTGCAATTTGCCACTAACGTATTTTACTACATTTGATCTTGAAAAAATATTTTGCAGTTAATAAGAGGAGATTTAGACAATCAACCTTTCTTCTGTGCCTCCCTCTATTTCCCATGATTTAATTTGCCTGTGTTCACTGCTCGGCGGTCTCTAATGAGCAGCTGAGATTCATTTTCATGTTAGATGCAGTTCAAGAAATTTGTCTCATTTCTGTCATTATGCTTTTGGCTGTTTGCATTTGCCCCATTTATTTCACTTACATGTTTTGCTGTTTGAATTGCAGCCAGTTAACTTTAAAAATGAGTAAAGAGAAGGAGGAAAAGGATTTTTTTCTGAATGAGGCTAATGGAAACTTTTGGATATGATGCTCATTTGGGCATGCTCCCTTCAGTGATAATCCAAATTTATATACAGCTCCCTAGAAAGATTGAGAAGTTTTGAAAACAGACTCTGTGTTTACGCTGCAGTTAGTTGATCTACCCCTTGTTTGGGCTGGTGCTAGCAGAATTAAACCTGCTTTAAACTCACCCTAAACCCCTTTAAACCTTCCCCATGAAGACAAAAACCAAAGTGTGCGTGCCCTCAACTGTAAACTATTCGCAGAAGGAGCTTAGATTTATTAGCACAGGATTACATTTGCCCCTGAACACCAGCAAGACAGGGATTCCTATTGGAGGAATTTAACGTAATCTGCTAAACTTGTGCTTGCCTCGCAGGCAGCTGTACTTACATGCAAGTGGTCTGTGCCTCTTCGGGCTGTGGCCTCCCAGGCACGATGTCGCTGCGGTGCTCGGGACACACTCCCGGCTGACCAACTTCCCAGCCGCCACTGCCGTCCCACCCCCCGGGCTGCGACGTGGCAGCATGGAGGAGGTTGTACCGCCTGGGAAAGGAGCAGCAAACATCTTAACCTCGTGCAGCGGCAGCTGCCTGCAGAGACAGTGGGAGTAGCTCAGACCCTGCCCTCCCGGCACCCTTTGCACCGACCCTACCGGCTGGTGCCCAGGGACATGCCTGGCACAGCCACCGACACCGTGGGAGTATTTAGATGCAGAGCTCTACAATGTGTTAATTAGTGTCTGGATGAAAAATAAAGCCCTGCCACTGGTGTATAAGAAAAGCAAGGCTTGATAAATTGGAAATAGTTGTCTCAGTGTGTGGCACATGGCCATGTGCAGTATCATTACAGTTTGCCTATAGAAGCCTACCATTATAGATTACTTTGCTTTTTACCTTGTTTTCATGCCAGCAGCTGGCATTTTGCTTATCCTTTATTTTACATGACTGAAGCATTGGGAAGCATTTTCCAAGATGTGTGCACCCTCCATAGCCCTGTTAGGGGCATTTTTATCCCACAGAACAGAAGCATGGAAAAAAGCATTAAACCATGTCTGCTATCACACTGCAATTTGGTGTTCAGACCATTAATAAAATATTTACCCTGTGTGTGTCTCAAATTATTCATTGTTCCTTCATGTTTAGTGTGAAGGGGTTGGTTTCGGTTTTTTTAACAAGTTAAATTAAGTTTCCCTTGCGGCCTTAGATGGAGAAATGAACGGTTCATGGAGAAATGAACTGTTAATATCACAAAAGTCTTATAAAATAATGCCAGTAATATTAATAATTATGCTTTCAAATGCACAGTTACAGGAAAAAATGGATTTAATTTGACATTTAGCTGAAAGTTTACTGAAATATAGATTTCATATCAACAGTTAAACTTGTTCAGCTAGAACGATGGCTGTGTGTGAAGGTAACCCGCTGTATGTTTTTCTCTCTCCGCACACAGCAGCATTTCCAAACCACTTTTGAGGGAAGGAGGTACGAAGCTGTTTGCTGAGCAGCAAACCCGGAGCTGCAAGGCCACAGTGTTTTGGTACCTTCTGGTGGTCCCTTGGCAAAGAATAATGCCAAAGCCAGTCAGGAGGGATGAGCAGACAGACTCACAACTAATTTGCAAGTGGACAATCACAACTTCATTTCCAAAGGCATTTTAAGGGAAATGAAACCCCAGCTACTCTGTGAGACAGCTACAAATTGAGCCAGCTTCTCTTGGCTTGCAGTGTCCCAGCTAACACTCATTCTGCAGCAAATGGTTCCCAAAGCAGGCTGTGGCTGCTAACCCTGCTGCAGCAACAGCCGTGCAATGCTGTGCAAAGTCCTGTGCTGGCTCTGTACTGGCGATAAGCACTGCTGTTCAAACATAGCTGAACAGCAAGGTTAGTGGTGTTTCCTGGCTGTCTGTGCAGTTCTGGAAATCCAGACTAACTGACATCACCAGACCTGTGCAAACTGGTAAAAAAATATAAACTCTGTGCATCTGACCCATGTTTTTCTCCCTCTGCAGTTCACTAAGTGTGAGTTTTCTAAGTGCCAGTTGCCTTTTAATATAAAAGCCTAAGTTTAGAGAGCCAAAAAGAAAAATTGTATTCATCTGGTCATTTTAAGTGATTCATTAAAAAAAAAAAAAAAAAAAAGAAAGGAAAAAATGCTGCTTGTTAATTTGCTTCTTTAATTTCCCCTGGAGATACATTTTGTGAGCTCTAAGCCAAATCCCAGCCATTTCAGTTCTCCATGTGCTCAGTTCTGCCTTGGTGATGAGTAAATGGGGAGGAAGGATGTTGCACCATTGCCTAGACCTTACTTTCCTTGTCTTCCAGCACCTTCCCTTCCCAACAGTGTCTGTATGATGTGCTCTAGAGGCACCTGTGCCCAGGGCAGAGCAGTGCTGAGCTACAGGCTACAAACCAGCAGAAAAGGGCAGGAGGGGGGTGCTGGCATCATCACTCTGCAAAATGACAGAGAAGATTATCACACCTCCCTCAGGCAGATCCACAGTTTTGTGCATTATTGTTGCTTTACATTGTCTAATGTAATAAAATCATTACAGAATCATAGAATGGTTTCTGTTGGAAGGGACCTTAAAGATTATCTATTTCAAACCTTCCTGCCACAGGCAGGGACACCTTCCATGAGATCAGGTTGCTCAAAGCCCTGTACAACCTGACCTTGAACACTGCCAGGGATGGGGCAGCCACAGCTCAATATTTAGAAAAGTTTTTCACCTCCCTGTGCCATTTTACCATGTGTCCTCCTGTATATAGCACTGTCCTAGATGGCAGGAGGCTGAGTTATTGAAAGGAGATTCCACAAGCCTTGAAGTCACCAATATATGGAAAAGAATAGGTTTTGTGCATTAAGCATCTCTCTGTCATGACAAGTCAGGGAATTGGCCAATAGTGATGTAGTCTAATTATTAAAACACAAAGTTGTAAGGTGAGCCCACCCAGAAGCCTGTCAAGGACCCAAATAGTTGTCACTGGCCCCGTAGGTGAGGAGAGAGCTGTGAACAGTCAACATCTGCAGATTATTTCCTACTCTGGAGTACATCTGCATGGTTTTTTGATCAAAATTTATTCTCTGGGAAGGAGGAGAAAGGATTTAAGTGCTATGGTCTTGATACAAATGAAACATCATAAATTTCTCCTTCCAGGGATGCTGTGAGTGATGCTGGGAGACAGTCCTCACTGAAGGAGGAAAGGTGCAGGGGAACATGCCCTGCCACATGCTCCTTGGGAGGCCACCAACCATGCCCAACGTCAGTGCAGGGTTTCCCATAGGTTGTGCTTCAGCAGCCTCATTGGTTCCATGGCAGAAGTAGGAATAAGCAGCACAAAAGTACTCACAGAAGATTTAGAAAAGCTATGATAACCAATTAATCGATTGATGTCTTCAGAGATGAAAAGTGCTAAAAAATGCTGGGTACAAGGAAGGTGTGGGGGCTGAGTGCTGTTTTCATGTGAAGACAGGTGTTTAAAGCTGCATGGTGCTGATTTTTATCTTGGAAGATATGGGAGTGCTGGAATAGACCCTCTGTCATGTGCATAGCTGCAGCTACCTTCACTTGGGTGAAGACCCATCCCTTTAGAACAGGGACCAAAGCCTGGAGTCAAAGCTGAGCAAAGCTGAGCTTGGGAACAGGCAGGGGAAGGATCTGAATGTCATGACCCACCTGCCTCAATAAAACCTAAGAGCCCAAAGTATGTGGGTCAGATGTAGGAAACTGGATTTTCAAGAGACAGCAGGAGTGGGAAAGGTGGGGCAGGAAAGGCCTGATTTCTATCCTTTCACCATACTTCAGAGCATCTCTTTATGAACCATATGGCTGAGCCCAGAGATCCAGGAGTTTATTGGGCTTACCTCTGGATCTGATTTAATCACACTCAGCCAGCCAGATAAAAGCAGAAGGTAGACGTTGCTTAATGTCTAAAGAATTATTTCTGCTTGTCTTCTAATAAAGCACACTGATGTAAGCTGGAGTTGATAACAAGATCGCTGCGCTGGGGTAGCGAAATCTCATTTTTCAGGACAACTGAAGTGTCAGTGCCAAAGAACAGACAGGTTATTGTTCATGCTCCTCCAAGGTTGCTTTTATTAAAATGGAAATTTCCAAAGCTTTGCATGCATATGCATGCAGCTACAGGTGTAGACATCCCTTCAAGGGGAAGAGGGTGGATGCCCCCTTCATGCTGCAGCTCATTAGTTGCATCAGCCCTTATAAACCAGGGTACCCTGGGGAAACTGCAGCACAGCTGTCTCTGTGCTGGGTGAAGGGGCGCGTGTCTTCACAGCCCACATCCTCACCATGGTTTTGAGGTGGGTTGGGCAGGTATGGCAGCCTCCGGTGTGTGCAAGGTGCTCCCCTACAGCTGCAGCCCATGAATTTCTCACACAATTTGAGTGAGAATTTGCCCTCCCTCCTCAAATCCAGCATAAGCATCATCACCTCAAAACTGGGCCTTTCATTCTGGGCTGCTGCAGCTCTTCATAAAGGAGGGGCACAGCACACCAGCCCCTCTTCAGCATGGCCACACTCAAAGCAGTGCAAGTGGTTCACCCCCATGGGCAGTCCCCACCCAACAGAATAGAATGGACTGGACTGGACTAGACTAGAATAGAATCGAATTTTGCACTGGGAGAGACCTGCAGTGATCGTCTGCTCCAACTACCTGACCATTTCAAGGCTGGTCATAAGTTAAAACATGTTATTATGGACATTGTCCAAATGCCTCTTGACAATTAAAAAAAAAAAAAAAGGGCAAAATATTCATGCCTGACTGTATTTTCACTTGTAATACATGGAGTAAGTGCAACAGGCCTAACCAGAACTTGGCTACTGACAGCAATTTATTCAACAAATGTGCCCTTTTATCTTCCCAAGTGCTTGTGAGGAACAGATTAAATTTTTACAAATGTGTGCCTTAGTTAAAATCATTTTGCTTTTTCTCCTCCCCGAAGTTAACTGAATCAAAGATTGTTTGTGAAATATCTCAGTATGGAACGCTCCAAACCTGTGCCTCATCATTAACAAAACAAATCAGTGCCCTATTCCCAGTCTGGGACAAAAAGAGTATTTCAATTAGTAATTTGACACTGAAATTCTTAATTAAATTAATCTTGGAAAGAAACTCAAGTTCAAGGAATTTCATTACTGTGTCTGTGTTTGGAGGTGGTAAATGATGGTGCACACCTCCACCGACTGGTGCTTCATACCAGAAAGAGCTGGTAGAAAGTGATGCTGCTAGAAATCAAATCACGCAGAGCTGCAGAAACTGCAGCGCTCAGCCTGCAAAGGCACAAGTCAGTGATGGACTAGACATGAGACCCCCAGACTCTCTGCCCCTGAGTGCTATGCAGCTCAGTTTTTCCTTGAGACTTCAATCTCTGACAAGAAACCAGTTCCTGTGCTGAAGAAGCATGAAGGACTCGGTGAAGACCTGGCTCAGGTCATTGATGTTACGGAAAAGCAGAATTATGCCAGAGCAAAGGAGCTGGATTTTCTTCTTTGCCACTTTTGTTACTGATTTAGGTTTTCCACACATTTTAGCAAACAACAATCATTCATTACAAAACATTTTGGAAGCAT